CTAACTATTTCGAAAAATCAACTAAATATCCTGGTTTTTGCCAACCAGTCTGAACATTGTAGACCCAGTTAATCTACATGTATATGTGCATGAACATACAATTAGACATCTCTCTCGACACCTAGTATTATGCAATAATGATTAATGAAGAAAAAAAGTTATTTCATAATTTCATACCAAAATCCATTCCATACTCTTGTGTATGAACTGAAAGGTTCAGCAAATATTTTGAATTCTTTGCAAAATTGAGATTTTATGCGGCTTCTATGAGCATAAATACACCATTCACGAGTGGCAACATCACATTATGATTATAAATGATGAATTATTTATTTGGTCACATCCACCATATATGAAGAACATAACAAAATACACATAAAATAACAGTACCTATAAATCAATAAATGTACAAAATTCATATTTTAAAAAATGTGTAATATTGCTATGAAAGAGAACTCATATGCTTCTCATCATTAAAAGTTTGTACAATATTTCAGTTTTAACAAAAACGTATCTCTTATATACAGAATATAACAAAATAAAAAATAATACATGTGAGTTTATGGTATCCAACACCAGTACACAATTTCCCATTAATCCATAAAACTGAAAATAACTATTGATTGTTACTGTCAGACAACCAAACATTAGTATATTTGGTCCAATTATGTTCAAATGTTCTATTTTTTTAAAATCTTTTGTTTTGTACAGGTTTAGCTGAACTTTATCGAGAAATTCAAGCAACTTCTATCCCAAATCTCAACATGTTTGATCACTACAGTGACAATCTTGAGATGGGGGTCTTAGTAGCTATTTGTCTTACTATTCAAAGGGGAAAGCTTTGTGCAGACACATGCTTTGCTTGAAAATGTGATCTTCATATTGTTCTTGATTTCAAAGCTCTTATGACTGACAGACACACCAAAATACCGCCCCTCCCCCCACACACACACCCCTTCTCGATCGTGTGTGGAAATCTTCAAAATTAATCAGTCTTTGACACAGACATCTTTCAGAACAGCAGGCACATGATGCTTGCTACCCACAAAAATTCCAAAGTGACATTCGCGCTTCAGTTATATGCCACATAGATCAATATGAAGAGTGTGCAGAGTAAAAGATACTCTGAAGAATAAGACAAAATCCAATTCTTCCATTCATTAAACCTACCCACAGAGCAGTATAGCTCATAACATTGAGAGGAGACACACAAATACTGATCACTGCAAGGTGATATATAAACCACTACCGTATTCAAGAAGTTAACTCATTGATTGCTAATTTTGAGAATACTTTGGAACAAGTCCCATAGAAAATACATGCTGAATGAAAGTACATGGTCCTTCATGTGTTAATGATGTTAAAAGTTCACACCTTTAAGTCTCGTTCAAGCATGATGCGGTAATACTCGTAAAAAAATTGCCCAAGCCAAATAAGAATCATAGAATGTGTGAATGAATTAACGCTGTATATACTCCTTGATCTATTAAAGACATTTTGTCACAAGCAATTGGCATATAAATTTGTTTAAATGATGCTCCAGGGCCCTGCATCATAACACTTGTCATCGATAACGGATGCTAACATTCTGTGACAGATTAGCTCTAGGCCAATCAGATGCCACGATTGCAGTAGCTTATATGAGAGTTATTGTAACTTGTTATTGATATCAAGTTTAATGAAACAGGGCCCCAAGTTGTTTTAATAGGTTACCACATCATGCATGAACGAGGCTGAACTAGCTTGGTCCCGAACAATCACAAATTTTTACATGTAGATTCAATACATGTAGATAATATTATTCTAATATTGTTCTAATTTCATAAAATGTCAGGCAGTCTATATATCAATACTGCTATAGTCTTCATAACTCTCTTTTTTGACAAGCAGGCCTTAATCAAAACATTCAAGAAGCTTTGCACCAATTTTGACCTTTGCTACTTATTCATGTAAACACCAGGAGTTGTTTGTCATCTCACAGGATGAGAATCCAGAGCCATCTACATGTATATACAGAGTTTGATCCACCTGGTTTCAGTTGGTCTCAACATGGTGTATTATTCTGTTGTTTTGTGTTTGCCCAACAAAGCAGTATTCGCCATACTGTAACAGACTAGAGCCGGGTTGGCCAAACTCTGAGTATTGATGGTTCTTAAGTTTAGCAGTCATGAGAAATCAAAGTTGTAAAGCGAGGCAAGGGCATCATCTGATACAAGATGGGAGTTCCTTAGTGCTTCCTGAATACTAAATTAAACTACATGTACACTTCTGCCAACATTCAAAGCATGGAAAAAATAAGGAATGACAATCTATGAGTATTGGATTCATTACACTAATTTGAAGGTAGCAAAATGGGAATCATTCCTCCAAAATAGGAATGGATGGCAGCTAAACTGTATGCATATGTAGCAAACCCACTAGTAGACTCTGTATGTCATCAAGCAGTAATTGCTCAAGTCATTCATGTTCATTAGCTACATACATATACAATTGCATGTACACCAACGGAGCAATCAGGAATAAATTGCAGAGTGAACAGCAAGATTATTTTCACCATTCTGATAAGCATATCGGAAGGAAATTGGATCCCACATTATGTATTTTGAGCTCCATGTACAATGAAAAAGACATAACCTTCCAAATTTATAATCCTTTTTTTTTCTTCACATGTTTATGACTGGGCTCCATCTTATAAAGACCTATGCTCGACCCAAATCAATCGCAAATTAATTTTAAATTGATATCAACTGTAACCTTACATATAGGAGATAGGCAATTGCCACTTTCGGAATGATCCGACTTGCCATCAGTTCAAATCTATCGCAACTCTTTGTAAGACAGGGCCCAGTTAAACGGCAAGGATTACAACTCTGGTTCGTCCACTTATTCAGCCTTTTACTGTTTAAAGTACTTGACACTGTTCCGCTTGTATGAATAAGAAGAAAAGGCAATAGCCTCCAAACAGGACAGTGTGTGTCAAAATGCATACCTTCTTCTCCTCTTTATAATACAGTATGAGGTTTGGTTCAAAGTAAATTTCTTCTCTTTTTCAAAGACACCATACATTTAGCAGCATGCAGAGATGTATTACTGTAAATAACCAATGTGTAAGGTATGGAAAGATTTGAAGACACTTTGGAATCATACACATCATACAGATATGACAGTGGTTGGCTGTACTGATCACTTAAAACACAAAATGCCCTTTTTTAAATTTCACACTCAAAGACACCATAGCAATTAATGAAGTCATTAGCACAACATTTATCCATGATGCATAGATCCTCATTTGGAATTTAAATGTCTTCATAGCAGAGAAGATACACTACTTGTATACATGCTTCCACGCACGACTCACATACATGCACACTGTAAGTATGTTACATTTATTGAAAGATGACACAGTCATTAGGGGAGTATTTCACAAAGACTAAGATCGACTTTAAGTTGGACCTGACTATGGCAGGCCGTTCATGCCACTATTTTCTCTCATCATTTACTGACATTGGTTTCTCAAGGAATGTACCAATCGTGGTCACAAATCTACAGAATTCACATTTGTTGATAGTTCATTATCGAAGAAAAAAATATTATCTGAAGATCATAACTGAGAGACCAATGATGAGAGCAACCAGTGGCATGATTGGCCTGTCATAGTTAAGTCCAACTTAAAGTCGATCTTAGTCTTTGTGAAACACTCCCCTGGACATGCAGAAGGCTTTGATCTAGAGAGTTGGTCTCTAAAGGTGTAGGAGCTCCATGGGGATTCTGTTCATGTCCTTGTCTGTCTTTTATGGTGTCATTGCAGTCACTGGATTCATTGCTTTGAAGTGTCCCAGAATGACCAGTAACCAGATTTCCTCCTCCTCCTCCTTCTTCCAGTACGGTACAGACAGCTAGTGGTGTATTACCGCACAGTCAAACCTGTCTACAGCGACCGCCCAAGAGAAACAAAAAAAGTGGTCTTTGTAGACAGGTGGTCTTTGTAGACGGGTTCCTTTAGTACATGTTTCAATGAGAAACTATTTTCAAGAGGAAAAAATTTGTGCTTGTTGTAGACAGGTGGTCACTAAAGCAGGTTTGACTGTACCTTGTGATTGTCAAGTGCCGAGTGTACAGTGCAAGTCAAAAGGCTCTACAAGAACTCTATGCTCAGCCAAAAAAACAGGCTGAAGCTTAACAGAGCTTAATAAGCAGCACCTTCTGCTTGAAGAGTACCACGAGGGTACAATTACATTAATGACAGCTGGTAGTAAGGAGTTCAACAGCCTGATACCATCTGGGTAGAACCTCAACATGCAGTCAGAGTACATGGATTCATCAGTACAAGTGATCCTCAAGGTTAATGTTCAAGACTTCCAGATGAACAAGGAATCACTGGATCCTTTACTATGTGGAGAAAAAAAGAGAGTTCCATAACATCAAGGTAAAGTTATCCCTGGAGTCATTGTAATAGACTTTGGAATATTTCTATTCTGCCAAGGTTCTTCAGGTGCAGTACAGGCATATGTCAACTCGTAGTCAACAAGGCATCAAGGAGTTCCTTCATAGTTTGTCCTAAACCTCGCGGCACAGTAGAGATCACTGGAACCATTTCTACAGCCATCCATCTGCGAGGGTCTGACCAGTCTGTACAGCCAAGGACTCAAGGTGCAATAAGAACCACTGGATTGGCTGAAATCAGTTTCTATTCTGTCTTTACCGTCAAGAGGCTAAAAGTGCTGGATCTATTACCATCCAGAGCATTAAGGAGTTCCTTCATAGTTTGTCCTAAACCTCGCGACACTGTAGAAGTCACTGGAACCATCATTACAGCCACCTGGGAGGGTGTAACCAGTCTGTACAGCCAAGAACTCAAGGTGCAATAAGAACCACTAGATTGGCTGAAAAAGTTTCTATTCTGTCTTCACCGTCACCGTCAAGAGGCTGAAAATGCTGGATCTATCACCATCAAGGGCATTTATTGTCTATCTTTGTTCAACAGAGTTTTTTTCTTCTTCTTGAAGACACTGCCATTCTTGACGTCCTCACTGCATCATACACAGCTCACCATGTTAGGCCTAGGAATCTCCTTGAGGGATGAAATAAGGCAATGGCAGATGGCAACCCCAGCTCCCGCTCGACAGGTCCCAATGTCTTGGACAGCTGACCAACTGAGCACGAAAAATAAGAGAAGGACAAGAAAAATATAGGTTGATACTTTCATAATTGCTTGAATGGAATAAGGCTTTACCAAGAATGAAAACAACAAGCATACATGCTTGAAATTGATTATTGGTTAACTAGATCATGGTTGTTAACTCTGTCTGACTTCTAAGATATCAAGTATATGTATACATATATTTATATAGATGTATGTATATAAATGTCAATTCCCCATGGACCTACTATGGCTTTGTCAAGGATACTGATAATTGAGGATTGCCTTGTATACCTAAGGCCATAGGAACACTAACATACATATACTTTCAAATCTGGAGTGTTATACATGTAGTTCCTAGGACATTGCTTTATCCAGGCTGCTATCCCACTTGTTCAATACTCTGTTTAAAAAAAAATAGTTCCATATAGAATTCACTGAACAAATCTTGTTAAACGTAAAGAGCGCCATGGTTATACAGTCAAACCTGCTTTAGTGACCACCTGTCTACAAAGACCACATTTTTTGTTTCCCTTTAAAACGGTTTTTCATTGGAACATGTACTAAAGGAACCTGTCTGCAAGGACCACTTTTTGTATTTCCCTTGGGCGGTCGCTATAGACAGGTTTGATTGTATGAGAAACAGAGACTTGCCCTCATTATTACCAAAAACCGCCTTCTAGATTTTTTTTTCTCTCACCTATTCGTAAGTGGATCATAGCATTCGACCGACGTGAGATAATTGGAACCGTTGTGTCCCCCGATGGCAAAGATCTTGCCCCCTAGGACCGACACGCCCACTCCACCCCTACTGGTAGACATGGGGGCCATGCTGGTCCAGTCGTTCCTCTGGGGGTCGTAGCGTTCCACCGTGTTCAGGGGCGAGCTGTGGTCAAAACCGCCTGGGAATTATAAAATAGGAGAATGACTATAAATATACATTCTATATCCAGATTCCCCAAAAATGCTTTTGTTTGATTGCTTGCTATGTGTATGACAAAAAATATGCTGTCAGCTCTGCATTTGAAGATTGTAGTTATTGAGGAAATGATGAAATGCACCATATCTACGACTTTTAGACATCTCTCAAAAACAGAAGAAAGGGGGATCATGGGTGACCAACGTTGAACAGGTACAGCTTAGGCATTGTTTGCTATATAGAGGGCGCGAGTAGCTACAAGTAGTGTAGTCCTGCTTTAATGCATTTTCAATGCTCAATAAATTTATTAAATAATTCTTCTCTTTTATTTGCAATGATTAAAAATGTCCCTGTAGCTATGACTTTGATACTGTAAATGCATAGAAATGCATCATGTGTACGACTACAACATCAAATGCAAGACGGAGATATACTGGATAGGCTCTGGCTCTATCGATTCCTCTACCACACTTTTCCCCTATATTTCATGTTAACGGCCAAAATACTCCCAGGCTTAGTCTCTAGCCTCTTAAATGCTTGACCTGAAATAACAAGAGATGAACATGATATCTACCGATAATGCATATCAAATGACAATGAAACAATCTCCAAAGTGTTATTATGTTTAAAACAATTGTGTTCCTTCTTTTACAATAAATATATCGGTAGTGGAAAGGGTACTGACAAGAAAAATTGAGGGAAAGAGAAGCAGAGGGAGACAGCGCATCGAATATGTTACAAGAACCAGAGATAGAAGCAGAAGGAAATCCTTGATTGCCAATGTCTGGAACAGACAAGGCACCTAGCAAGCAAGCAAGTGGAAATTTGTGGTTCAGAGGGTCACTTACCGATAGCATAGAGGAAACCGTTGATGACTGCAGTCCCTCCCCCGGCTCTCCTGGTGTTCATAGGTGATACTATGGTCCACTTGTCGAGATGGGGGTCATAGCGCTCGCAAGAACTCAGGGTTGATGATCCATCGTTGCCTCCGACTAGAAAGGGAACCATATATCAATTTAGAACTATCATTGAAAGCAGTTGCTTAGAACTAAACCTTAAGGTATTACATTTTATTAAGGTATCGTTTAACAATGTTAAATCTGAGATGCATGACCCTACATGCTACTAGTGTCTGTGATATGGTGTAATATCGAAGCCCTAAAAGAATTCCGCTTCTAAATGTTCATGAAGTGCCTCGAAAAAGTAAAAATCTTTGAGTGACCGGCTTTACCATACTCATTTCTCCAATAGACTGTAGTGTTATGAAAACTGTGAGGAAAATACAAAATTTGATTTTGATTTCCTATCATAAATATCTTGATAATCAGACAGGCAATCCTCTTGTAAAAGTCATGGGATTCCTGAATGACCTAAAGGTTTATATTATGATTGCAGCAAGAGCTAAAGCTAGGATTTTGTTTAAGGATCTGAGACAAAGTTACTGGATCCCTTTAACTAGATGTCAAGCATGAATATTACAGTACTCACCAGCATAGATGCGTCCATTGAGAACAGCCACTGCCACACCACCCCTGGCACAGTTCATGGATTGAGCAGAGCTCCAGGAGTCGGTCTGAGGATCGTACCGCTCCACCTCGCTGAAGCAGAGGTTGTCGTCCAGTCCCCCGATGGCGTAGATAGGTGTGCCTAGCTGCGTCACACCCAGGCCTCTCCTGCAATCAAAGCAAAAGCATCGTTAGATATAAATCTTCTGAATCTTCTGAAATTGAAGTCAGCAGGGTGGTATTCCACATGTCGCTAACTTGTATGGCGGGTGGTACATGCTAAAGTGTGTTTCTAAAGTTCTCAACAGATGGGGCTAAGACAGACTGCTGGTCGAGAGCATTCCAGGCTCGTCCAGTCCTACACATCCTACAAAGTGTGTATCTAGTAACCAGAGTTAGTCACAGTTATCTTAAAGCTCAGTTTGATGACAGAACATCGATGCCAACATAATTCTTTTATAAAATTGCATATTTATTGTATTTGCATCTTTTATCTTAGAACTCCCAATCAGCCCTGCTTCAAATTGTCATGACTGTTCGTACAGGCAAAAGTATTTCTGAGCATCTAATTCACATAATTACGATTGATCTATCTACACAGCTCTTAATATTTCAACATCTTGAAATAACTGGGAAATCACATCATTTCAAAGACAAAGGAAAACGACCCTGCAAGACTTCCCAAATTCCTGTATTTTGGTTTCGTTTTTGGAAGTCTTGCAAATTTTGTCTAACTAGTCCTCGACCATACAGACAGAGAGAAAACTACACTCTCACAAATTTACCCATTACCCTGACTTACAATGCAGCTAATTCTCAAAATTGTATTTGATTACATACAAATGGCAGTGCTCAACAGGTAACAGATGCCCAGGACACATGGAGGCCCAAAATAAAAGGCTGAGTCCGAATCCCAAAGTTGTCCCCCAAATCCCTGAGACAGTCAACTGTTCTATCCTAACCCCCTTCCAAAAAAATTAAAGCCCCACTTCACTACTTATAGCTACTTGCGCCCTCTATATAGCAAACGATGCCTAATCGGTGACTGTTGGTCCCACATGTTCCTTTTTTTCTGATGTTAATTGAGAGCTTATTTGATGAGATAACCACCTGTCAGTGACCATACAGGGAGGTCTAATCCCTCCTGGCCAGACTAGTACAGATAGGCTTTAATGTGGAACCTTGCATATGAGGTAATAAACAAAGACTATATTTCATTTGCTGAGTGCTAGAAGGGCATTAAACTCAAACACTTAAAGCCTTCTGGGCCTCAAGGGATGATTTCACCTACCGTGCTTTTGCCATGGGCGCCAAATTGACCCACTTGTTTGTATGAGGATCAAACTTCTCGGACGTGTTGAGATGGTCCCTGCCGTCAAAGCCACCGACAGCAAATATGTGACCAGCTGCAAGAAAAACAGGCACAAGTCCATTTACTTCTAAAACCATTCAACTGGGAATTTGTCAAATCAAATGATATATATTTTTACGGGAGGTACATGTTGTGGGACCTTCAAGGACCTCCTTGTTACGACTCTCATTGGAGTAATTTAAGCGAGTGCTTTGCTTGATCAAAATCTGAACCAGTATGGGAGATCCTTAATCTGTTACATACAAGGTTTTCTGAAAGCTGAATGTGTCCCCTTTAATGTACAAGTCACAAACTCAAACAATTCTTTTTGTTTATCATAAGTTGCAGAATGGAGCTAAGAGCTTGTGTCCCCATCACACGATATGCCCCAATCAGGTGGTCTGGACTGTATCAATTGTTATCATTCTCAGAGATATGAAATCTTGAAGTGTAATTCTCAGAGAGTTTAAAACTCATTTTGTGCCTGAGGCATAGGTAAATTTATGTAGAAAGATAAAACACCTTATCAAATCCAGTCACTTGTGATTAACCCCTTACAAACCAAAATCTTTTCTGTTATTTTTTTAACTTCTATCTCAACCCAAAGAATTCAAGTCTAAAATAACTCTGGAAAGAGGACATGAAAAATGTGTGATATACCCACCAGGTTGAGTACCTACATACAATTTTTGAAATGTACATAAACTTGTTACTGAATTTCCTGTTACATTCCAGTTTTTTAGTTTTTTTATTTAGTGATTTTATTGGTCATAACATAACATTTTATAAAACCCTTTTTTCTCTTTTTCATTAGAGTATTTGGAGCATATTATACAAATTATATATGCATTCACATGGTGGGTAATTGGCGTCAAACTGAATCTTGACATTTAAAAGAAGTACCCTTGCATGTCAATTATATCAATAGACTAAAAGACAATGAAGAAATCAGTTTGGTGTAAATGTAGTAGGATCAAAGGATTACAAAAAGATTCTGACTGCTCAATCATGAAAGAAAAATAGATCGGGATATTGAAAAATGTTCATTATCAAACATAAACTCTCCCTGACCCTCTGGTCGACAGACTTCAATACATTTGATTAACATGACAGTTCAACGGTCTCGATCCGATGAATCTAAAAGACTGCTATCGCTACTGGGCTAAAAATATGAACCTCTAAAAAGATTACCTTTTGACCTTTTATTTGATATTACAGTGATAGCAAAAAGGCTAATGGCATGTTTTGTTGTAGATGGGAATAACTTTGGAAGTGATTTTGTATTTATTGAAGTGAATACCAGTACTGTATCATTCCAATATTGTACTTTTCTACTCTCTATTCAATCATTAAAGCTATTAAATTATTTGAGATTTTTTTGGACAACTTTTGAACCTTTGCATTATATTTGAACTCATTCAATATGTACATTACAATTTCAAATTTTGTGCTTTTCATTTCCCCTAGCCTCTAAAAGTAGATATGTGAACTTGTGACAAATATTTTTTTCCCCCAAAAGCAGTTCTATCTCTGCCTTTGTTGTGTTTTCTTTTTTATGGGGGGGGGGGGGGGGGGGAAGGGGGCTTTTTTGTTTTGTTATATTCTGTTCAGACCTACTAATATAGCTCATCTTTACTTTTCTGTCTGTTAAAATGCCTCCAAAACAGAGCATTAAAAAGAATCAACTTTTACCCCTCAAATGAGAACCCCAAATTATTGTTTTTCCCTCTTTTCTAAGAATGTCTTCAATTTGTATGTTTTATTTTCCACCTCTAAAACACAAAGAGCAATGAAAAAATGGTGTAAATCAAACTTGCAACAAATTCCATTATCACAATTCCAGACAGAGGAACAGACTTCACAATTGATACTTTCAAAATATGGAGACCTTGAAAAATGAATATTTACTGAGGTTTCTCTCAGAAGTCTTACCATAGTTCATCAAACTATTTGAATTTCAGAGATTTCATAAGAACCAAGGCCATAAATAGTATCTCCTTCAAAACAACTTTTATTACACATGTTATGAAATACCTGCCTACAGGATGCACTGTAATTCAACTCTCGGAAGAATGTCATGAAGACATTGTAACAATTTCTCTTTCATAAAAAAAAGAGTTACAATTCAAATATTTTAACAATGGACCTTACAAACAGGATGGGGAATAAAAAAGAGGGGTTGAAAAGATGAAATGCAAGATCGACCAACCGTCGGTTGCCGTGACCCCGACGTGCCTTCGCTTCATGCTCATCTCCGTGACCGGGATCCAGCGATTGTTGCGCAGGTCGTAGCACTCGTTGGATTTGAAGGGGTCGCCCGTCGCTCCACGACCGCCCACCACAAAGAGAACTCCTGAGAAAAAAAGAACAGGATCGAGCAAAGAAAGGAATTGTATTAAAATGATGAAATGTATTGGAATGACAATGTTTTAACAAACAAAGTTTTATACATGTGTCAATAATTTGTCAAAAAGCTTTGACATATAGATGGTGTCTTTATGATACAGAGAGAGGATATTCAACTGTCAATAATTCAATTCTTAGGATTACTCTTACTAAGAATTGCATCATAACAAAGCTGTCTGTACCATCGTACAAACATTAAAAATTAATGACTTCTGGTAATGAATTACAAAGGAAAAACCACAGAATTCTGTGAATTTGAGAAAGGTGCAGTTGCAAAGTAAAAAGCAAAGAAAGCTCTAAATGTCGAGGTTAACATAGTACATGTCGCCTGATGATTAATAACAAATATTCATTGGAAAAAAAATCACACGGGTACGGTGAGCGATATAGCTCAAGATTGCTCAAAAAGTGCTCTGTTAGATGAAAAAACACAGCTCTGGTAAAAAACAACTAAATAATTTAATATCACTGTGACTGTGAGTAAAAGCACTTCCTAAAAGAGCTCCCACGAACAGAAAAGTATTTTTACACTGTAAGTGTTGGTGTTTCTCATTTTATGTCATTTTCATATTATGTATTGCTTATATTCTATTAATCTAACCGGAGTAATACTCTATTGCATTAAACACATCAAGACATTTCTCTGCAAGTATAAATGAACTGCATGTTTAATGCAGGATTATCATTAAACATACAATTTTTATAGCTCTGGGATTAATCGCACAAATTAGGTTCTAATGAAGAAAGTAATAAAATCCCTGAACCCAAAATACAAAATTAAGATTCAATTGGAATCATGTAAACAAGTTCAATCTCCTGGGTTTTAGTGCTCTCCTTTTCATAACAATACACTTAAACTATTATCTTTCTCTATTTTTGTATCGGACTATCTTTCACTATTTTTGTCCGTCATTAACCTCTCTGCATTGTTTCCTGGTACTCTAAAGAGGCTGGTAGCTATATATTCCATCATTCTAGTGTATCATTACAAGGTAGGGCTAGCTAGACCTTAGATAAATCTGCATTGTTCTCTAATCATGTTCTGTTCTAAGTAATAACTGACCTTAAATCGAGAAGGGAAATACTTTCTAAAAAGTAGTACTTTAAATTTCCTTGTGTGAATGACCTTCTACATTGCATAACAACACATCATGTAGACAAGGGAAATAGATATATTGCTTCATACAAGAAAATGCTAGAGAATGATGGAGAACTCAATCCGTCTGAATCAACAGCGAGCGAAACATGATTAACCCATTCACTATTGCATTGTGAAAGTCCCATAGGCTTAATGCAGGGACCACCAGGTTCCTGTAAGCAAAGGGTTAATATAATAAAACCTTATCACATTGTGAAATGAAAGACTGTATCTAGACACACTGGAAGTAAAATGTCCTCCTGGCCAGACCTTTGATCTTCTGAATATCTTTCCAATACACTATCACCTGCCAGTGGATACAAGTAGCTCCTTGTCAAATCAAAGGCAACTTTTTAGGCACAAATAGGGCATGGAAGCGTTACAGCGTATCGGAAAGTGCCGAAATTCACGGAAAAGACTGAATACAATCAGAAGGATAATCACCTTACAGAACGGTTATGCAACCGAGCTGAATCCACATAGACCAGTAAGTTGGCCACATTGGCATACTTTCAAAGTAGAAACATTTGCAGTACTGGTACGTTAATTTTCGCGGAAATCGCGATAAGATGATTTCTTATGCGTGTCAAGTCAAATCAAATCACGCACTTTTCGAGCACCGATAGGAATTAGGAATGAAAACAATGGAGTGTAGTGTGCAACTCGATTTTAAGAACCTGGGAATATGATTTGGGGTCACTCAGCGTGAAAAATAAATCACACAAAAATAACAGCATTTTCAGTAATCAAATGTTTGTGTACAGTCTATTGTCAGTCTGTGTTAGTCTGGGCTTTGTAGATGGGGGATTATTGTAGTGGATCAAGGAATATATGAATACATAATTTCCCTCTGAGAAAGTGAAATATAATGATGATTGATTCTTGCTATAGCCTTGTTAATAGGAATTCAACTGAGGTTTGAAAATGATAGACTACCACACCTCCCTCCTCATAAATAGACATTGCCAGAAAAAAAAGCCATTCAGGCTGACTGCAAGACTAATTTGACCCCCTTTTTATCCTTCAAAGAGTGAAGGTACAAGAGTGTATCAATAAATACAAATAATAGTATTCATACCCCAAAAATATAATGACCTTTCCAAAAATAGATAACATAGTCCTTGACACTTTTTTTATAACAAAAGAATTCAATTAAAAAACAGACAACAATTTACTTAAGGTCTGCATTTTATTTATAAAAAAAAAAAATGCCTTCACCAAAGAGATTATGGGATATGGATTGTTAAAGGCATATTAAACCGAACTTAATGATGACATCGTTAACTTTTACACACTCCCTTTGCATGGAAGTTGGAACTTGCATGAGCAAACAATAAGGGACTAATTAATCTTTCAGATTTGAATCTTATAAAACAACATCCTTGATCCACTAGTGAAGTACACCTAGTGGGATTGTTTTGGGTGTTTTTTATGTTATTTATTTATTAATTCTTTATACATGTATTTATTTTGTATTTTGTATTTTGTATTTTGTATTTTTTTTTTTTGGGGGGGGGGGGGGATAAAATGTGGGTATGTCATTAGGCCTACCCTCTGGTTTTTACATCATTTGTCAGTCAAAAGCCAGGAGGAGCATAACTCACATCATTAATGTAAAATTAATGCCATTTTGGCTTTCAGCAGACTTTTTTCATACAGAAATCTGTACTCATTATGAAAGCAAGATCAAAATAATTATGCAGACCGAAGTGTAGTATTTACAGGCAAGCTTATGCAAAAAGGCCCAAATTACAGGAAATAATTTTTTTTAGATGTACGTTTGTAATCCCCATGATGATCTGATACATGTAAGTGTAACAGGAGCCAAGCTATACAAATAATAGAACATATGTGGTTTGTAATCTTTGTGATGACATGTTTGTATACATGTCCAAAAAATAAAGCGAAGAGTCGAGGTCAAAGAAAGGTAGATGGCCGACTGTTGATGACCTACCATATAGTCCTAGTAAAGGTCTATTTAACGAGAGTCTAGACTACAGAGGTCAGGAGAAGGTCCTGGTCCATGAAGTGGAACACTGGTGTTGAACACCTGGTTGAGCACATGAACGAGTGTAAATAAGCAAGAGGCTCCCATTTGATTGATTGTTTTGGTAGTGCTTAGGTAATACAATGTTTTGGGAAAGTCTTAAAATTGGCTAGATAGTGATTCGTAACAATTCAATATATTTGGATGCCCCTGTAAATGTATTATAAGCACTAGATAATTAAGCCCCTAAAACGCTTTCGAGAAAAATTGAATATCATCATTTACTGGTGCTAGCGGCTACGGCCATTCCATGGTAGCTGCGACCATGAAAATCTCAGAATATGTAGTTGCGACATTGAATATTGTAGGATCGCATATATGCTTCCAATATGTTCATTCGAACCAAATTCATGACCCCATACCAAAACTTTGTATCACCTTTAATCAATTGCAGGAGCTTAGAACCCTTCTAAAGTGTTGGGAGCCCCAAATTTGTCAAAAATTTGATGGCAAAATTTCACTTAAATTGTATATATCATAATGTGAAAGAGGAAATCATGTTACTGATGTAAGACACACTTCTGCAAAGCTTTCCCTTAAAAAAATGTGTTTGAAGATAAATATTGATAGAATGCATGATTTGGGTTTCTATTGGGTTCTAATTGTGCCAAGGTGCAGATTTCCCCAAAATTCACAACAAAATCAAATTAACCATTATTTTATAATTCTGAAAATATTTGTTTCTGAGAGTCCTTGAATGGAACTGCTTCAACTGCCAAGATGCTGATTGGTGTGAACAGCAGAGCAGAGCTTGACACGTCTGTGACCCTCCCCGTGGTGGGATGCGATCGTAATTTGATTTGGATCTCTCGAGAGAGAGTCGGGACAGCCCCAATACCACTTTCACTTTGTCTTGGGCCCTTGATTTGCAAATCTGAAACCCCTCACGTTCACTTCAATCTCTATTCCCTGGTTGATATTTTTAAAAGGTTTTGTCACCCCCTATTCGGTCAGTGTGATTCAAATCTTCGACAGTGCCATGTTCAGCATTTGTAGTTTATCCTTTCATATAATAGAATAGAATATAGAATATAATATAAGAAAAAATGATGAATAATCCTTCCTAATTGTTACTTGACACATATCTTTGTGATTATCATACTTGCTTCCTTACACAAGCATAGTAGACAATCTTAAAACTGTACCGTAATGCAGGTTTCAATGAGAAGCAGACGGTCTTTACAGACAGGTTGTCTTTACGAGCAGGTACCCATCATGTTCTTAAAAACATGTGGTCCTTTGAAGTTGTTTCTAAAACATGTAATACTGTCCCTTCTTACTGCTGAAAGTAACATCTTAAAGCCCATCTGTACTAGTTTACAGGAGGGATTAGATCACTCTGCAAGGTCACTGGACAGGTGGTTATCTCATCAAATCAGCGCTCAGTTAACATAAGAAAAAGGGGATCATGGGGGACCAACAGGGCACAGGTAGCTATTATAATTAGTACAGTGGGGCTTTAAAGCAAATACGTAGAGCACCATTCTCTCCCAGCAAGCAATATGTGGAACTTCAAATAAAGTAACTAATTATCAAAATTTCTCTTTCCTTTTTTTCATATTGAGCGGAGCTGCAGAAGGTGAAGGTGAATCTAGAGTCTTTATTTTTTTTATCCATAACAGATGTTTATAGTCTTTCATATTTTGGACTTAATTGCAGCTTAGGCTTAGAACAGTACATGGAACAACATGAACAATACATCTTGATTCCAAATTTCCAATACAATGGATTTGCTTGGGGTTCATACAAGGGACAATCGGAA